ATGGATTGAACCTCATCCCACAGGACGGCTAATTTGACTGATTTTTAGGGATTTTCCATTTCTGCTGTACGCAAGTGCTGATACAGTATTTTAAATAACCCACGATCACCTCTCACAGCGTCTTTTCTAGTCCATAGCTCTTAAAACGTTCTCTTATACTACGCTTTATAGCGTATGCAGTTGATTGCGTGCCGTTAAATAAACCAGGACCTACCTCACACACGTGAAAACGTCGCTCAGATTCCGGAACGACACAAAGCCTTCAAAAGTGCCTGAGACGAATCCTTCGGGACACTTCCGCGGCACCAAACAGGTAGACCTTTAACGATTCCGTCATTAGTGTGAAGTATTTTATTTTCCTCGTCGTTGGTAACACTGCCACTGCCCATCTTCGCGCTGGTTTGATGGACCTCTCACAGCTTCACCAGAGACCCACTGGCCACAGGGGCAGGGTTCCCATTGGACAGTACTGTACCTCCCCCCCTCCCCCGGAACACTTTCAAACAGACGCCATCGTCCGGAGACCACGGACAGTGAGATCGTGGTCTAGAATCCAGTGCTTTAAACAGAAGACAGACGGCAGCAATGGTTTCGACATTTTACGTCTGTTCTATACGTAAAGAGGAAACTCAGAGGGTCATTAAGCTTTTAAAGCCGAGTGGTAACTATAGCCTGTGTACCAATTACTTTGAACATGCAGAAACCTCGCATACGTCTGTTCTATACGTAAAGAGGAAACTCAGAGGGTCATTAAGCTTTTAAAGCCGAGTGGTAACTATAGCCTGTGTACCAATTACTTTGAACATGCAGAAACCTCGCATTTTTGCATGAGTCTCAGTGCAAACAGGGATTATTTTCTTAACCGCTTAAACGTTTTGATCGTCTTAATTGTGTCGCGTTGTTTATTGTTTGAGGAACGGCTTGTGTTGTTAAATAATGTTCGTACAAGCTTTGACTTCGAAGGGATAATATTAAAATTTAAGAGAAAGCCAAATGTGACGACCCAGAAGAAGATGGTTCTTCCAGGAATTAGAATACGTCAAGATCTGGCATGAAATCAGGAAGGAAACGCCATGAACCGGAACAAGACGGATGTGATAACAGAGGATGTGAAAGGGGAAAGTTTTCGACGTCTACGATTCTCCGTCCCTGGGCTTAAATTTGAACTTCAAAACTAGAGATAAACGTGTGACAGGGACACTGTCCACTCCGCGGACAACGTCACGCGTCCTGTCCGTTACGTGAGGATTGCAGGAAGAACGCGTCTCGCCGTGACTTCTGACGCAAGGCATTTGACCTTGAAGTCGCCAAGTTTCGATTCTGTTAGGGCAGAGGTCAAATAACACAGGAGAGCCACTCGGCAGTTCCCGAAGGATCGATTTCACTGCGGTATGCTGTTCCAACTACGTGGGTTGAATGGATCGATGCTGACAAGGAATGAATGCTGTCGTGGCCTATTTAAAAGTGTGATTCTTCCGAGAGATCGAGAAGAAGCATGAAGACAGCAGACAGCCGGGCCAGGTTCAATCCCAAATGCAAGTCAAGAGTATAGCAGAACACACCACGCAGTTACCGCGTCACGTTGTCATCGTATGCGTTCTGCAAGCACAACCAACCGCTTCTGTGGTACTCAAATATTGAGATCAGAGACATCTGGCATGAAAGCCTTTAACTGTAAATAGGCGTAGATGGGAGGATGATTTTAAAATGGTCTTACAGTGATGTTTTATTTACTTTCTGGATTCCAAGGCGTGGGAATGAGCTTCCGGTTTCTACAAAACAGGAAGTTTGAAGATGAGATGATTAACTATTAGTTGACAAAAGTCTGACGTCACTTAAATTTGTCTTAGAATTTCTGTAAAGGAGCCCGTTTTCTCGGGTTCAGAACGGATTTGCCTGGCAATAAGTAGTGTAGGCCTTTCTCTAACACGATTACTCATAAATTTAAACAATTACTTGCTCAACGCGGAAAATTCCATTATACACGGCCTACCACACGCACCGCAGAAGCGCGCTGTTTGGAGAGCTTAAGGGAGTTTCGGTTTGCCCTCGTGTATTTGTACAAGCGACTTGCGTTTGTTTCACTCAGCGTAAGTAAGAGCGTAAACATTCAGCTCAGCTGTTATCCCATTTCGTCTCATAAATTTGCGAGAAGGAAAGTTGAGAGGTCGTGACACTGGACGAGAAGAGAAATATTCTAGATTAGTAGTAGCAGCTGACCTGACATTTTATTTTAATGCGCGACTGTACTTCATTGTACGGATTTTTAATCACGATTTTGACGAGCGCGCCACTTTCGAGGAACGTGCACAAGATAGAGTATGGCATCCGAGAGCACTAGAGGCATTCTTTGCACCTGACAAGTGGCAAGACGTTCTCTGACACCAAAGAGAGTGAAACCTCGCAACATCATCGTTAAACATTTCTGAGGAAATATTACGTGATGTCCTCTGCTGTGACAATGAAATAATTGTACTCGTTGGTCTGAATGACCCCAATTGAATAAAAAATTACTTGGATATTATCCATCGTCTAGTAAATATAAAACGTAAAACGACGTTTCGGAGACGGGACTCTATCTCCGTCTTCAGGTTCCTACACAGTTTGGCCCACTAGATAGAGCTAATCCCTATCTCCGGACAAAGTAAAAAAGTGAAAGTCCCGGAATAAAAAGGCATTACCACACCATCTCCGAAACGTCGTTTTACGTTTTATATTTACTCGACGATGGATAATATCCAAGTAAATTTTTATTCAATTGACTCATCACCATCGTCAAGAAGTTTTAGATTTGATATAAATGACCCCAGTTTCTAAGGACCGCAATAACTTAAAACATTCACGCGAAATTTGCAGTCCATGGAAGTGTCGACATTGCCGGTCTCTGGCCCGTCCTGCACGCGCTCCAAACCCGGAATCAGTGTCTAGTTCAAATGCACGAAGACGCTGTTCTATGTGAGAGCAAGATTCCGTCAGATTCGTCCATCTTAACATTCGTGCAGTGTCCTTTAGTGCACAGCCGCTAACTCGTGCACCCGCTGACCGTGGACCACTGGTTGAGTCTCTAAACAAAGCCGCGCGAGAGGTGATGAAGTGGAAAGAGCCGGACACAGCCAAGAATTTGTATGCAAAGGCACTACTGACTGACTGTTTAACGACCCTGAATCAACCCTCAAGGTCAGTAGTTGCTGGCCGCTCCGTTCTAAGCCGTTCTTTGTGCGTGTCTCCGTCTACAGACCGAGCGGATTTTAATGAGACTACTCAGGCCCTCTGACTTTTAAATTCATCTTCATCGGGCGAAATAAATTAATCTAAAATCGTCCACGGCTCCTTTCAACGCGGTTACAATGTTGTGCCCCTCAGCGTAATTAATACAGTCCACAACTTCACGCCAGATTTATTTGAGACCGATTTTAATATTATCTTCCTCGGTAACTACGCCAATCAGAATTTTAGACTAAAATTTTTGTAAATATTTCTGCGTGCTTCGATTCGTGTTGCATTCCCCGTTCACATAATCTTCCTCTATCATCCAGACAGTACGTTTGTTTTTATTTATTATTTAGTGTTCTGTCTGACGACAGGTCCATATGAACAGGATCCTTCCATCCTTTTCTCGGACTGGGACCTGTTCATATACGTTCTTGGCAGATGATCCAGAAGTGGTTTGCCATTGCCTTCTTCTGTGTGTGAATGGAGTAATTGTTGGGATGCCACGGAGGAAAACTCCGTGTTGCCTAGACCACGGCCTTGCCCAACACAAGTTATAAATTCGGGCACCGGGAATCGAACACGAGACCCCCAGGATTACAAGGCCAGCGTTCTAATTGTGAAGCTCGCGGTTTATAATTTTCTCCAGTCGTCTGGTGCTCTGTCTTCTGTCTAAATATCCTCCTCAGCATCCCTTAATGACGTGTGAAAGGCGCACCCAGCTTTTGTATATTCGAATTTTTACGTGTTTGGATGGCAGACCGGAAGACATTTCCCGAATTTAAGGCGCCCCTCGGTTCTTTGGTGAAAGTAATTTTGGTTTAGCCTATTAACTATCGTCGACAAATATTTGAACATCGGCACCCCGCGCTGGCGGTGGCGCTGTTGGCTTATCGGGGAGACAGCAGTCGCCTCAGAGAACACAGAAATCATGGCGTGGAATTTGAAGCAGGAATATTTACCCACAATCCAGCACAAAAACATGATACACGACGGGTGACAAATTTTACATTTTTTAAAAATGTCTCAAATTCAGAATTTTATTACCAAATGAGTTTAGGGAGAAAAGTTAAGAAAATTATTATTATTATTCCATTTATTCACAATTTTACAGGGTATTTACTTCTGTGTACCCGAGACAAACCTTGCCCCTGAGGTACGTAATCCAGCAGCCATTTCCGAAACACATTTTGTTTTTAATACGTGTTACATTTATTATATAGTTTTATTGTGAGGTTATTATTATTAATATTATTATTATTATCGTCATTTTGTTGTGTATTTCAGACGTTACATTCATCACCCGGTATAATTTGTAAATTGAAATAATTAAAGTAAAGAGAATACAATTTTGCTGCATTTTTATGAGATTTGTCGCTGAAGATAGAACAGAAATTGGAGGTATTAAACGCTGATTTACTAAAGGGCGCACTTGAACGTAATGGCTCGATACTAGGTGGCGTTGCACACCAAAGAACGTAAAAATGTACGCGCGTCCTGTACTCTTCGACTGTGTCAACACTCGCCACTCTGAAGTCTCCCAAGATTTCCATCTTGGGAGACTTGTGTGTGTGTGTGTGGAATTAGGAGCATTTGGACTGAACTGCCTCAGGCAATGTTGAAAACATTGTACGAAGGTTTAACACGGATTCCGTCCAGGCGTATTACAAATCCAGCCACAGCCCGCAATTTCACAACAGATAACGGTAGGCAGAGATAGGTCTGCTGACTCTTCAAGTTCGAGATTTGGCCGCAGAAATACCGCCCTAGTCACGTCCACTTCATTTCTGTGAACAAAAATGCTGATTGGACGTTTAACCCACACGAAGTATTAAATAGCGCAGATTTCTCTGTCAATCGAGTAACGGACTGGAGTCCGAACCATTGTTTTCAAGAGGAGTTCTTTTGTCGTGCAGTCGCTGACGGCCGCTGCACTTCCTGAAGAAGCTGGGGGGTTTAGCTTCTACCTGAGATGTGGCTCTCCGTGGGGACCCGCCTCTGCCAATCACAGGTAAGAGGACCAGTGACGTCACGACCTCAGGACAACAGCGGAGGTGGTTTTACCTGCGTCCGAGGCGGGGAGAGGAACATCTTCTCTTCGACGGACCAGCCCCCTCATTTAACGTGGTCCCGGCATCAGAGAAACAAAAGTTGTAGTTCTTTGGTACCCGTGAAGGATGGAAAGTGTCTCGGAGTGATCGACGCGGAAAGTTTCAGTCACAACATTGATGTCTGACGAACGTATTTATCCGCTTTGTCGCCTTCAATTGTCTCCCAAAGTCGCGAACGCCTGGCTCGTGTAGAAACGTGTGAATTTCAGCTTCTCGGGATAAATCACACGGCGTCAGACCGAAACTGATTTGTCGGCGGGGAAATATTTCGTTGTATTACAGCGAATATCAGAGGAGTAAGGCATCGATGTGACTCCGTACGCTTTCTGAAGACGTATCTCACGTAACGGAGAACTATCTCACTCACAGTCTCGCTCGCACAGCGCCGTTATCTCGGTCAGACCGACACTTCGTCGTCAGTCACAGACGTTCCGTCGCACATCGCGGGTTCGGAGTGGCTTTCATTGTTGCGAGTGGGGTTAAACAATGGAAGGACGAAGTAGGGGAAACTAACTCGTGCTTTGATCGGTTTCGACGACAGTGACGGAAGTCGGCGTCTTGTGTTTCTTCGCGATCGGCGTAGTGTGTTACCGTCGGCACAAAACCGAGGCGAAGGATTTGCGTGTGTCGCCATGGGATGTACAAGACGACAATGTGCAACGTCATGAAACTAACAAAAGCTCCAGGGTGCTGCATCCAGGCAACGGCGTAGAACGGACAAAGGAGTGACGAAGTGGCGATGTAAAGACGGGGACCGTGTCAGGCGATGAGGACGAGGGTGTTTGTGTGGATCGCGGTCGTGTTCTTGGCCACGATGCGCGTGGCGTCGGGGTGTGGGCCAGGCAGAGGGGCGGGCCGACGCCGTGGGCCCCGCAAACTGACCCCGCTCGTCTTCAAACAGCACGTGCCCAACGTGTCGGAGAACACGCTGCCGGCGAGCGGACTCACCGAGGGACGGATTACTCGCGAGGACCCGCGCTTCAGGGACCTCGTGCCCAACTACAACACGGACATCGTATTCAGGGACGAAGAGGGCACCGGAGCGGACCGCCTCATGACACAGGTCAGGAGTTTCCCCATCAAAACTATATGTGTGTTTCTTGATTCTCCAGTCGTTCATGTGGTTGCCTCCGCATTGCTCTTAGATATTTCCGTAGTTTCTCAAGAGTTTTTTCGATTTTGTAAATAGTTGTCTCGTAAAAATCTAAGGAAATTGATGCTGTCTTAGGGAAGCAGGAGGGATAATATTAAAATGGACTTATGGTAGTTGATAAGAGTTTGTGCTGAGCTGATCAGGTCTCGGGTTCAATGAAACGGACACAGTAGGCTGGTTGTTCACACCTCCGCTGCCTGCCAATTTGAACACTTACCACTCGTTGCACCTGCAGACTGGGAGCGGCCGTCCTCTTACTTAGTAGCTTCTTAATGTGACTGCCACGGCTAACCAACCCGATGTTGACAATGATTAATGGAATCCTTTTTACGTCGAGTATTCGACTGTTAACCGGTTGAGAGACGAACCCACAGATTTACTTTTTAAAATTAGAATTCAAATTTCTTTGTTCTTAGTTTCAACTTTTATGTCTCTACTGGTCGATTCGTAGGAATTGGTGCCTGGTTCTAGAGTATTCAGTGGCTCACAAGACCCTCATTTGTGACCTTTCGACCGTCAGAGAGACCCTACGGAGTGGAGTCCATCTTGAGAAGCTGCTAGTAGCCACTAGGAGGGGAGGGCCAACTTACACTTTAACCTGTTGACCCCAGACGTCGCCACCACTGTGTGACCCATGGGTTTACGTATCTGACCTAGTACCTCCACGCCTCCTCCCCAAGACTGGAAGCCGAGCCGAGTGTTTGTCTCTGTATCTGAGGCAGGTCGTAAGATGTATTTGCTCGAAAGCGTCATTGAAACGCCTTATCTGTACGCACACAAACTCATGACTATTGACTGATTGACTGACTAGAGTATACGCAGTTTCTCCGCGCGAGACAAAGACACGCATAGACGTTTTTTACGGACGCAGAATCTCGGACCTGTAAATGTTTGTTCATAATATTTGACTTATTATTTCGAGTTGAAGACCAAGGCTTCGAGACTGCGTACGGCAGCAAGGAATTTAAAACCAGAAACTCTGTTTTCGTATTTTTAAGGGTGTCATATGATTATCAGAATAAACGCCGATTAATTTCCTTATAAACCAATTAACCAGTTTGTATTTGAAACGGTGGAGTGTGGTGTTTTCTTTGCGGTACGGACTGAATTCTTAAATATTATTTAGACGAGCTTCGACTTCATTAGCCTTAAACGTGTGATAAATTGACCACGTTTAAAATTAAAACAGATATTTAAGGAAATCTTAACTCTGAACATACGTCACATGTCATACCTCGACTACGAAAAGGCGTCATTCAAAATTCACTAGTCTAAATGATTTTATTTAACATTTCAATTTAGTATGGTTTATATTAACTATCTTACAAGGCATATTTCATCCAAAACAAAGTTAATTGGATTGTATTTCTCGTCATGGAGGTGTTAATACGGTGGCCAGTAATAACTTCGAATGGCTAATTAAGCAAAAACATGTCACAACAACGCATACCTTGTCATATTAACGACAGTTCCTTCAATAAATAAATATATTATGAGCAGAGGTGGGACGTGTAGGCTAATGTATGCTGTGTTGACGTATTTGTATGTCGGGTTTTCCTTGACACAGCCTCAAGAGGGAAATGAAGTTCGAAATAACAAGTGTTGCCTGGCACAGAGATAAACTTTGAGGCATTTCTGACACATTAGAAGCTGAGGCCTGATTTACTAAGCATTTACCGGAGAGCATTATTTAAATGTTTTAGAACAAACGTTTTTCTTGGATTTTATCTTCTAAAAATAATTCTTGCTTTGGTCTTTTATAAATTTCGTACCAGATATTTACTGTGTTGGTGGTTTAACCTCCACTTAGAAAGATTTTAGGTAATTTTGTTCACAAGTTTCATTAGAGCCAGAGTCTGGATGGAGGGCCTGCGTTTTTTGACAAAATGCGTAGTGAAGGGGTGTCAAATATGTTTAAAAAAAGACGTGGAATACAGACAAGTGAGAAGAACAAGAAGAATTGGGACAAGTTCCGTAGCCTTTAATGGAACCAGGAAATTCTTCACCGTGTACACTAGGTTCCCATCTCTCCAACCCCCTGAGCCACTTGAATTCAATCAATTAACATACTAACAGGATAATTTCGATATTATTCCGAGCCACGTTATAATTTGTTGTTTTTTTTTTCGCGGGGAACTCTGTTGAAAGTTGTGAGGTTAGGTTCGAATGACGTGTTATTCACATCGGAGGTAAAATCTATTTTAATCCAAGTTTTTACAGACGATAAATTTTTGTACATGACGAAATATCTCGGTAAGTCCGAGAAATAAATTTGAACCGATTTTAAAATGAGTAATTAAAGTAAAGGAAAAGTAGGAAATTTGACTGGTATTTTATTTGTAAAAGAAAAAATTCTCCGCGTTTTTGTACTGACCGCTGAGGTGCAGGGAGAGAAGACATAACTCAGGATTAGGGGAACATTTTGAAGGAAAAGTCTGACACAGCAAATTATTTTGTACGCCAAACGTTTGCATAGTAATGAAACAGCTGTGGGAATGTCGCACTTTTGTGCTAAAGCTGGTTATGGTTGCCTAGCAACCACACCAGTGAGGTTCAGAAACAGACGTCAGCTTATGAAGGTATTCTGTGTGAGACATGGACGTTGCCGGAAGTGAGTAAAATTTAGAAATTACGTTTACGTTGTGTTTTGTGAGAATCTGTTGATGGTCAGGATAAGCTTAAATGATTCGCGCTATGATGTCATGATTTACATTTGTCTGGCACTGGTCGCGAAACGTGTGAACGCAAAATATCACGAGGACAAGACGAATGAGGTTGAGATTTAGAACTGGGGACTCTGGGATGTCGTCCCTAAAGCCATTGCTGCCAACATGCGTTCAACAGCGCGCTTTGGTGACAGGGAAGTTTGCTGACTTAACGACCTATGTGAAAAGTGTGTTTACCATTTTCACTAAAAAAAACACACAGACATAAGCCACACACGGCCGAGATGACACGTGTATATAAAAGTAAAATTTAAGAGCTCTCACAGTTCCATAGCTCGTTCTGTTTGTTTAACGAAGCCTTGTAACAAAAAGTGCACCTACCTAGAAGAGGAGAATGACGAAAGATATTTTTTAAAATGTATGTTTGGTAAAGTTACGCCCAAAATTCTGTTTCCTGAGGATTTGGTAAAAATGTCGGTCTGGTTTTCATGGAGACGGGACATTTGAATGCATAAAACGCGGGACAGAAAATGTCTTGGACCAGCGAAGCAACTATCAGTTTGTTATGTGTAATCGCATACACGCGCCTGCTAAGTCCGTGGAGCTGACGGAATTTCAGCCGGGCAACATGGACTCACCCGCCGAGAACTTTCGAGTTTAGAGGCCGGCCTACTCAGGTAGAATGAACGCTTCGGTAACCTGACCGACCATCAGTGAGTGATCTTAGCACGAGTCCATTGTACGAAGAAACAAATGAAAGCTGTTTTTATATGATAATGGAAAATTCTTTCATGAATATTTTTTTTTATTAAATTTAAGATTCATTTGAACCTACAAACAGGAAACATTGAGTATTTTGTTTAAAAGAGAGAAAACTTTTGAAATTGTATTCACGTATTTTTGGTTGAAAATCGTCACACTTTCTTTCGTGAATAAGAAGGCAACTTCAGCTGGTAAAGAATTTGTCAACGAATGTTATGTTAGGTTCAAAATACACGTTTTGTGATTTTTTTACATCGTCTGTGATGATGTTTTGCGTGATAACGGTTGTAGTTTAGCAGAATTTTATCTTAACCTGGTATAATGTCAGGGGTCGTGATATATTTATCTGTATTACAAATAAATGTATTGATATCGTGAAATATCGTTCTTCAACACTTATATAACCTCTGTCCTCCTCCAGGTTTCGTTGGAAACAGTGCTGAGGCTGACAAAATGCACACAAAATTTTGGTGGGGAAATCTTTGAAGGAATGAGACCGCAAAGAAGTGTTAGGTTTACATGTGAGGATATTACTAAAGCGGATCTTAGGGATACAGGTTTGGAAATTGTGAATTGGATTAATATCGCTCAGGATAGCGTCCAGTGGCGGGTTGTTGTGAGGACGATAATGAAATTTTCGTGTTCTGTAAAAGAATGGGCGAATATCTTGGGCCAGCTGAGTTTACTTACGTCTAGCTTCTGAAGAGAGACTTTGTTCCATGGAGTTCGTTACTTGGTCTTCAATTTCGGCGAAGAGGATTCGAAATGCAAAGGTTAAAAGGAATATAACGTACCTACGTCTCAACAGAACCACGTGACTGGATTTAAGATGGCGAAGATACCGTAAACTCTTTATTATCCATACTCGATATAAATTTTGGTTCTGTGTCAGAGAACAAATTTATGAAATCTCACTTTTGGTTAATAAATCTCACAAGATTCAGTTGATGCATCGGCTTGTGAAATTATGCAGCATCATTCCACCCAATTTTATCACCAGCCAAGCAAGGATTTGGGTCATTCGTTGATCTGTTTCATCCTGACTTTTCTAGTAGCCATTCCGTGTTCTTGCTCGGTTCCTCTGTAGTGAGCCTCTAAATTTTCAACCTCGAAGGTCAAACCAACAGGGTCTGTGAGGGCCGGTTGAAGACCTAATACCGCCTCGGGTGACAAGAAATCCCGTCTCCCCCCCCCTCAGTCAACGCAGCAAAAAATTTATCAGAATATCGTCATTTTAATAATTACGAAATTCTCAGTCACTCTGATGAAGTCATTTGAGAAGTGTAATTTTTGAAACGTAATAAGAGAACTGCGTCTTCCGGTCACTTAAAGGCGGCAGATTGAGAAGTGTCCACACAAAGGTGTGAATTGTGTTGACATCAGCCCCCCACACCCGGAATCCCTTAGCAGGAACACAGCGCCTTCTGTGCGGTTTCCACAGACGTTATCTCCGACCTGAGTCAGCGCTGCCTCGGACTGACG